CATATGTTGTGCTGCTCTCAAGTTGGAAAAAATAGGAGAGAGCACTGCTGCCCGCACATCACCACTGCATTTTCTCGAATCAAGATTGTTGTGAAATCTGCCTCCAGGATCTAACACTCGAACATAACCCTGTCGGGTCATATCGATCAAATAGGCTATTTAGACCATTCGGTGAGCAAACCGATCATGGTTGGTGGTAACAATGCGAGTCAGGCTGCTTCGCCTCGATCTGAATCTTATGGGCCGGGAGTACTACAAATGGTTGTGGATAATGTACTGAGCGGTTCACCAGCCTCTGTTAATACAAAATTTGTATGTTTTCTAGTTGTCTGGATAGTTTCTCAAAGTAAGATTTTACTTGATTCAGGTCCCTCCAAGGAATGATATGTCAATGCGCTATGTGGATGGTCGTAGGTGGGAGAAGTAAAGTGCACTTTATATTTTTATTTTTATTGATTCGAAGGGTTTAAGCATGGTCCTATACGTTTCATCTTCCTTCTGCCTGTATTCATAAAAAACGCAATTGAATAGTTTTCAAGAAAATAAAAACTTACAAACAGCACTACCCCGACGGGCTTGCTCGAGGAATTAATTTGCCCTTCAGTATAAAAAAGCTAATCATGTAGTGGTGGAAATCTTACTTATAATATTCACGACAACGTCGAAATGGCGAGCCGCATACTGCCATCTAGAATGGGTTGTGTTACCTAAATAAACACTTCAAGTGATAACGCCCTAAGCTTGAGCGCTCAGATCCTGGGCAGCGCTATCTCAGCTTCGATTCAACTTTGGTTTCCTGCACGCTGATTTCGAATACGATATCTACTTTTCACAGTATACTTCCGCAAGGCTGTGCTGGATATGCGTTATTACCCATCTTTACAGTATCTCATTGTAAGATTGGAATTTGAGGTTCTCGTCCACACCAGTTTCGATATTTGATTCGGTGTAGTCAAAAAATGTTGACAAAGTGACAAATACTTTCTATGTGCTAGGTACTCTTCATGCTAATTTCTAAAGGATTCAGAACTCGTGTTTACAGTATGCCTACAGTATGCTGGAGTAATGGTACTGCAAAGAA